CTAAGCTTGGAGAAACCTGTAGCTCCTCCGAGGGCTACTGCCGGCCCCAAGCCCGGGTAAAGGAGGAGGGTTGGGCATGGGGTTAGCGACCCCATCCCGTAGAAAACTAACTCGCTATTAAAAAACGCTAACCAGAAAAAAATTATTCATAACAGATATATATATATATATATATATATATATATATATATATATATATATATATATATATAGACTCTTTAAAGATCCCCATTATATTCGAAGACTTATATTTAAACGAAGAATATTCTTTTCGATAAATTCTCTTGAGATTCTACAATTCATCTATTCAAATTAATAATCTGATAAATGGTCAAAGTGTATCATTTGAAGTTAAAGTATATGAATTTAGGATTTTCAAACAAAATAGAATAACTTTATATAGTTGAGATCATGAGTCAATTGAAGCTAGACCACCATGGAAAACCTGGAAGCACTGGACGGTCGTTTTGTCCTATTGTGGGACTCCTCAGCAGTGCGCATCCATGATCCAGCCTCACGAGATTCGAACCCAGGACTTACCAGTCTCGCGCCAGAATAAAATTGTGAACATTGATATGGAGTATTAACTTGAATCAACTTATATGTTAAGTAAAAATTTTTGGGATCCATGATCACAATAAATATGGATCAGATAAGGTGAGAGAAGTAATAGTGCAATTGGCGGACTGCTTAAACAACTGGACTATTTGTTCCTGTCATCTAGATATTTCACTAACTTATCTAATTTCGTTTGTTTTAATACATCATAATGGATGTTGAAGATATTTCTTTTGTACACAATATGACTAGTTTGCGCTAAATGGGTCAGTATCCAGCTGTTCACTTTCTTCACTACACCTTTGTTTAGCCACACTGGGAGGTGTTCGCGAGCACTAAAATGTAAATTACTAGAACATCAACCAATATAAGTTGTTCCACAGGAGCAGTCGAACTGATAAACACAAAGTGAGATGGTCATTCCAGGTAATTCATCTTTTAGCCTCAGTGTCAACATCAGGCATGTAGTTCTCTAGCGTTGAAAGATTTTTGGATTGTTCTGTGCAAACTCCGAGTTAAAATTTCGCTAGGCGCATGAACAAGGATTTCTTGTTCACCGTTTGTATTTCGTCTGTTCTCACGTTTGTAACCATACATTTAATCATAAACTTTCTAGGGTATCTGTTCCCCCTAAGGTGTTTAGCTTTTCTTCAGCTATATCCGTAGAATATATAGTGCGTATTCGGTAACTAAGAGTTTTAATCAAGTTTCTTTTATACTGTAGAGGTACAAAGCTAAAGAAATGTGAGTACTGCCCTGTCCATATACTTTTCTGTTTGAATTCCTTTTTAATGATCCTTCCCCCTCTTAGTTAAGAGAACATCCAAAAAGGCTATTCTACCATCACTCTCTTCTTCAGATGCAAACTCAATGACTGAATATACTTCATTCAACTGCCTAAGAAGCTCTTGCTGTGATGTATCATCTTTACAGAGGACGAACCTATCGTTCATATATCGACAGTAAAATATGAATTTTCGAATGGACCATTTCTAATTTCGTAAGAGTATAAGTAGTAATTCGAAAGATTAGGGTTTGAAGATGTTATTCAAGCAGTATAATCCAGTGATATGAATTTGGAAAAAGAAAAAAGACAGGGACATGAAGAATTCAGAAGATTAGAATTTAGTAGAACACAAAATGTGGATGCACCTACGTCATTGCAAACGATTTTAAGCCATGTCATTCAAGGTCTCTAACCATCGATTGCTATCATCTCGCGAATCCCAACCAGGTAGTCTACACCTACCAACATGGCTACGTCCAATTGTCAGTGACTTCATGGATTTGTGACACATTTTGGTCTGGCCGCTTCTAGCTTTCTTCCAACCTACTCCTACACCATAAAGCATTGCACGTCGAGGCAGTCCGTGTTGGGCATACGTAATACGTGTCCCAGCCATATCAACTGATCAAGTTTCACTACATCATCAATCGATTTGCCATCCTTACCTAGTACCCGTTTCCTAACAACTGCATTACTTACTCGATGGTCCCAGGATATACGAGCAATACTTCGAAGACACCTATGATCGAATACTAGTAGCCTACGAATATCCTCTACTCTTACCGGCCATGTTTCACTGCCATAAAGTAGGACGGAACGAACTACTGTACAGTAAACCCGTCCTTTGGTTGCTAGACGGATATCTTGCCTACGCCATAAATGACGCAAGTTGGTGGAAGCTAGACGAGCCTTCTGTATCTGTGTTGAGATTTCGTCACACACCAGACTACAAGGGCTGATGAGGCTCTCAAAATAAGTGAAGCTGTCAACACGCTCAACTACTTCACTCCCTATCAATAGTTCAGGTGTCGATGCAACCCAATCTTGAAGTAACATTTTGCACTTCGAGGAGAATAATCGCATCCCGACTATGAATGCATAGTTGCTCATAGATCCTGTTAGAGAAATACAACTGAAAGACAATCAATTCAGAACATTTTGAAGATGTGTTTATAATAGTTAAAATGATGATGTAGAAATTAAGAATGAAGAAAAAAAGACTTAGTTGAGTTGGCTTGGAATGATAAAAACAAAAGAAAATATTCAATATTCATGGATGTGAATAGACGTGTAGTCGGGTGATTAAATATACTTATCGTCTTTATTGCATTTCATTAGTTAATGATGTAATGAAAAACCTAAGTAACAAATACTAACACAATGAATAAATTCATGCACAAGCAAGTGGCTATCAGAAATCAGTAGCTGAGTGGATCACGCGATGGTGTTTGAAGCGAAAGGTACTGGGTTCGAGTACCGGAGAGGATATCAATTCTGAGATGCAGGTACATCCAGCTGATGAGTCACAAGTAGGGCGAAACGCGCGTAAAAACTGGATTCCACTGCTGGCTACTTTCCATTTTTGCTTACAATGCTTGTGAAATAAGGCTATATCGAGGCAATGTGCATAGTATGCACATATGAAAATAAGAGACTGACCAGTCCTAAACATCAATGAGATAATTCAAACAAGTAATACTAAGTGAATTTAAATGAATACATTTATTGTTTATATAGAGTACATATTAGTAAAGCTAACTGGGAGGAAAATACTCAACAGTTCAACAGTACTGCTGCCGACAACTAAAGCTGAGGATAAGCAATACTATAAATGACCTTAGTGTGTGGAATTCACACCCACATACACACAAACATATATGTATACATACACACAAGATTAAATAGCTTAAAAGATAGTACCATGATTAAAATCAGCATTTATATATAGTGAATTAAGTGAATACGCACATCAGAATAAACGAAAAAAAAACAGTTATACGATTCAATGGAAAAGAGTATAATCAACAGATTTTACCACCGTTTGAATAAACACGATGGTGTTATTGACTAGAAGGAAAGGGTGCTTAAACACAATTGATAAGCTACTCCACCACAATGAGATATGGAATGTGTCTGGAACAACCATTAGAAAACAATTGGGGATTTTTTTTTCAGCATATGACTTAAGAATTAATCATCAGCGGTAAATTGGTATGGCAAAATGATTGTTTAAATAAGCAATGCATATAGCTAAAAGCCGGTTAGTAGGGTGTACATGAAAAATTTTACAAAGTAGTAGCCAAGAGACAATAAAGTAACAAGGTTAACATCAAACTAAACTAAAGGCAAATATATAGAACTTCTCAGTAGACCGCTCATGATTTAATAAGACAAATATCAGATATGCTTCCTTTATAGAGTTATTATATAGACAATAATGTTGTATCCCGACCGTTGCTTCTACCTTGACGTGGTGGTCGGGCTTGCCTATCGTGATGAACCAACCGAGCTATACTGGCTGGAACAATTGTTCCTCAAGGTCCTACCACGCCAGGCAGGTCGATTGGAGAACAGTAAAACTAAAAGCAGCAACTCAAAGTCTGAAGGCGAAGTCATATTGCTGACGGTAGAGGGGTGTGACAGCAGTAAGGTGTTTCCCTCGAGCAACCAGCATCTGTAGCGATGCTGCATTCTCACAAGGAAGGAAGGGGTTAGAAAATATCAACCCTAAAACTGTCATGTTTCACCTTATCTCAAGGATTTTCGTCTCCGGCGGTAAGGTCCTTTGAAGAATGGAGCTAACAAGTCAAAAATCCCCTACAAAAAGGCCATGCGTGACTGGCATCAAGTAGTTGTCCCTTCGGCACTGCGGTCACGCTCCCAGGTCGTTAAGACCAACACTAATCCAACTTCTTTCTCAAATCCCTCAAGAAATACCCTACCATGGTGTGGGCATCCGGGAAGTGACATTAGCCCTCATACCCGTAACTGTACACAATAAGGTAGTATGTTACTATTTGGATATCTATGCCTAATCCATTTGTATTTTAAACATTGTATCAAACTGATATCCAAACAATAAAACAACCCTTTTCAATTACTTATATAGAGTCATATACATCAACCAAAATAACACGATTCAATAGTCAGAGGGTCAAATTTTAAATGGCATCCAAGCGTGATTAACGATCGGAAGTTTAATTCCTAGATAGATATTACCAGATATCAGTAACTGGAATGTAAAAACAAAAAGGTTATTGTAAAAACACGATATCAATGATGATGTAATCGCTGAGATGTTATTAAAAGGAATTCTTCAGGAAACCTTATGGATAACCTCTTTTCAATCAACATATTATGTATGACCTCTAACTCCTTGTTAATTGAAACGACTGAGCATATCTTCCTAGCTCTATTTGCCAGACATTTGACTAAGTTTCTTTTATAGTGAAGAGGTACAAAGCTTAAAAAGTGGCTTGATGAAGAACATTTCCTAAACACATTTCTACTGATAGAACCGTCATTGGATATCAATGATGATGTAATCACTGAGATGTTATTAAAAAGGAATTGCCAAAAATACAATGAATCTAATAAATAATAATGATAGAGAGAATAAAACATTACATAATAATATACATTCAATTTTATATACCTCGGTAAGATGAATTTGGTAAAGATTGTGGAAATATATTATCTAATGGATGCAATGCTTTTAAAGGACCTGAACTTGTATATGATGTTGAATTGTTAAACATTAGACCTCCTCCACCAATTGAAGAATATGAATCTACATTGGTAGTAGTAGCAGCAGCAGCAGCCAAACGAGCTTTATGCATTTTAAGTCGACGTGTTGTTGGCATAGTGGAATATTGTTTATCAACATCTAAATAAGTAATATTTTAACAAAAAAAGTTAGGAAATGGATAATCGAATTATCATTATCAAAATTGTTATTTTGAGTAGACGAATATATGCTGAGGATGCTAGACACCCAGAAATCTCTTGGCAAACGTCTTATTTTTGTAATTTTATTTCGAAAGTTTGAATTTCTCGTTTTCGCGCAAAAAGCGCCCATCTTTACCTTCAGATTTTATTTCTCACTTGAAAAGACCCTGAATGTCATGGATTCATTCTCTCATTTAATACGCTATTTTGTGTGTTTGGTTTGTTTGTGCTTTTGGTTGCTTGTGTAATATACCTTTCCCTCATCTGAACCTAGTCTTCTCCCTCTACTTACAGCGGAGCTGGGACGCATTGGAGTAGTTTAGTTTGTCTTATCATTGTGTTGCTGATCCGTCGTTCAGTTCAGTGATTTAAGTGTTCTCGTAATCTCTTCAAATATAGTATATGACTAGCAACGGAATCCAGGACACAGTGCATTGTTCTAATTAAGACTCCTCAGTTGGCAGATGGACAGATATCATCAACATAGTCTGGCACAAACATGCATTAGTTCACATTACCATACTTGCTCAGCACAAAGATGTGAAAACAACAAAAGGGATTGAAATAATGTAATATCAATGATGCCAAGGAACACTAAACATTTGGAATATAGTTAGAATAGATAGAGTGGAAAAGTATATGTGAAGGGATACTGGGATTCAAGATCGACGCAATTGTCGAGTGGACGCCACTAAGATGATGTGCATCTACCAACATGGCTCAGAGCAATGAGTAAATGACTTCACAGACTGATGCCATGTTTTAGTCTGGCCTCCTTTAGTTTTATGTAGACCTACTTCCGCGCTAGCAAGGATCTCCTGTAGAGGTATGTGGTAGTTAAACATTTGTAAAAAATATCTCTACCATATCAGTCGAAGAAGATTCACTACATTACCAACTGACTTGAAATCTTTCCCAAGCACTTAACTTTAACATTAGTCACTTAGGCGTTTCACGAGAGGTGAGTAATGCTTGGATGACAACTACAATCAATAACTAGTTAGTAGAACGTTTGTACATCCAGGTGTTATTGACTTTATAAATAATCATTAATACCATGTGCAAATATCAGTTAAACAGGTTAAAGACTTGATTTCAGAAGCTCAGTCGTTTCCCAACAACAACAAAATGTTTGTTACAATTAAGTTATATTGCATTTTGTTCAGAATCCTCCTACGGAAACATGATTAGAGATAAAGACTGACTTTTAAAATACGCTTCATTAAAGTGAATTTATCTACTCTACTACCACTACTATGTAGAAAGTTACTTCAGGTGAACAATTAGGTAAGCTCATCATTAGAATATCTACATTTCCATCCTAATTAACTTGACAAAGAACAATTAAGACGGATTAAATGATTTTTTAGGTGATCATATAACACATACAACACATGAGGTGAACATAAAGCATTTCAAGTAATTCAGTAAATTTTGTCAAATTTGCTACATCATTTGTCAAAGATATCCATCATAACAATAGAATACATCTATGAAATCACGAAAAGTCAATACAACCATTCTTCTACATTGGAAATCAGCATAAATAACACTGAAGCAAGTTATAAATCAGAAGGTGTTTTGTGGAGATTTCAATATTTTCATAGTGGAATTCATGAGTCAATTGAAGCTCGACCACCATGGAACACCTGAAAGCACTGGACGGCCGTTTCGTCCTACTATGGGACTCCTCAACAGTGCACATTCACGATCCCGACCTATCAGTCTATCGGTTAAGTGCACTGGCGCGAGACTGCTAGGTCATGGGATCGAATCTCGCAAGGCGGGATCGTGGATGTGCACTGCTGAGGAGTCCTACAATAGGATTAAACGGCTGTCCAGTGCTTTCAGGTGTTTCATGGTGGTCTAGCTTCAATTGACTCAGATATAATTATTAGATTACACTTGCTTCGTTCTTATGTTGTAACCATTATTCACATTTTATTGAAAATATTGTCAATGCACGTACTAGACATGATGGAATCTGTCCATTTTTATAAACAAATTGTTACAATTAAATTGCTTTATTGATTACTTTATTCACCTTATCATTTAATTACTTTATTATTAGTTCTTCATTAGTTTCATGGATACCTTTAAGCTTGCAGTGATATTATTTAATACACAAACCATTTGAATGGCATAAATATTATCGTCTTCAGTGTGGGGTTGAGAAGATTATTGGATTTCATTGACATCATGATGTGACCAATGATAGATCAAGATTGAAAATTTGGAAGCACAGGACAGCCGTTTCTTTCTAGAATGAAACTCCTTAGCAGTGCGCATCCATGATAATGTACTTGGGAATCGGACCGAAGACATTCGGTCAGGCCCTCGAAAACACATGATCTCTAGACCACTAAGTGGGCACCCAATTGTCGTTTCCTAACTTCGATCAATCCATGATATTACGTGACCACCCTTCATTGTCTTCGGTAAGTGTCTCATACTCGACATGGTTTAGCTCCAATGACCAATAAACTAACTTCGAGAGGGAAATGTCGGAGTTCTAGTTAGAAACCAGGGCTAGTGGCGCAAAATCATGTCGAGTGTGAGGCGGTTACTCACTAAAGACAATGGAAGGTGATTGCGCAATATCATGGATTGACTGAGGTTAGAAAATAACACCGATGAGTTCCAGATACGGGCGGCCTGCTTAAACATCTGGGCTACCTGTTTCCCGTCATCTATATATTTCAACAAGTTATCTAATATTGGTTGTTTTAATACGCCATTATGGCTATTAAGCACACAACCTATTCCGGTGCGTTTCTGAAAACTGTACAATCTTTCGCTGTGAAGGTTACAAAAGGCCTAATCAGAGATGTCGTGTTTGCTAGGAACATGCAGCAAAAAGAATATACATTATTCATATGTTTATTGACTGAACTGTTGACATCCAACTGGCGATCACTGAATGTTTATCATCAGGAGCGACAAAGAAATAAGAAACGTAAACATGTTGAAATACTTTATGCTGAGAATTCGATTTTGTACCAAATAATATAATATTGAATCAAGCTAATAATAATAATAATAATAATAATAATAATAATAATAATAATAATAATAATCAGTGCTATAAAGTTTAGGCATTCGCGCGCGAGACCGAACGTCTTGGGCTCGATTCCCCGATGCAGGATAATGGATGCGCATTGCCATCGAATTCCATATCAAGAAAAAAAGGCCGTCTATCATTTCTAAATTATTAATGGTTCACTAAATTTGATCGGTTCATGATTTCAATGAAATTGATTATCACTCGACTTCATAGGGGTTTTACACATATCCAATATTCCATCATTTAGTTATTTTCACGAGTAGAGATGAGTAAACTGTACGACAATTTGATACAAATAATCCCTCCAAGAATTGAATTAATTATGTTTTGTAGAGTTGAGTAAATCTCAAGTGAGACGATGGTTTACCGATAAAAGTCGATAAAGTTTGAGTTGTCATTTGAAATTGAAGCCTTGGTGCCCAATCGAGTGATCTAAATACATCTTGTTCATTGCCCCCAAATGCCCTGGTACGGCCGAGAGTGGGGAGCAGCCACCCTCTCTCTTCAAATGCTCTCACATGATCACGCGTATACAGCCTCTGTCAGGGAAGTCCTACTGTAGTGAACAGAACACTGGTTGGGGACAATCGAATGTATTTAAGCAAAAATTAGACTATCTCAGTAAACTCTGAAAACCATACAATGGACAGTTAATTTGCATATTAACAACCAACAGTCTCAATCTTCACTGTTTCTTTTCTAATTACATTGTTCGTGTATTTTCATACCGATTGCGCTTCATTTCAGTTCTTCCCTCATCGGACTTCTGCCAAAATACATTCTATGTCTGACAACACCATATACTACTTATATGGATATAAGTAGATCACACCACACTACTCATTACCTTCTCACAGTGGCAGGGGTGTTGTTTACGAAACTGAGAAGATGAAATGTGAATGTCCGGAGCTTTAACCAGGTTGGTGGATGCGGAAAGTCCACCCAGGCGATTTGGAAAACCCTCATTCCAAACCAATGGTGCACATGGGCTGGCTCCAGGATGCTGAGGGAACAAATAGAGTATCAACCAGTCGTTGGTCACCAGCTATCATGGGATTGCGTCTTCTCACGATGTTCCACTACCTTGTGGATAAGATCTTTAGGTCAAAGGCTCCGGATGTGGCCCCTTAAGAAAACCACCTGTTTCGGTTTGGGCACCCGAGCAGTATCACAGCTCTCACACAAATCGAATGAGATTTGTGCGGCGTATATATATCTGGTGCTTCCTTGTACCAATATTTATGTGTTTAAATAAATAAATAAAATCTTGTTAATCACGGGTTCTGAATGTTGTGAGTCCAAAAATTAGTAGAATATATGAAGTGTATTACTGAAGTTACCTAGAATAAAGCGAAGCATTTGCTGAATGTTCACTAGTGTTTAAAAGTTCTACCTCTGAAGTAAGTCAGTCCAAGCTAAAAAAAAATCTTCAAGTCATGATTCTTTTAATTTATACTAATTAGTGAAAAACTAAACAAACTAAAATTACCTTCTGGCATTTTATAACGATTAGGAAGAATATTTGTTTGAAAAAATGAATAGTGTGAAGCATCCACATGTCCATGACGTTTTTCTGAAACACTACGACGTCCAAATCCATCACGTAAAAAATTTCTATTAGATGGTACTGATAAATTCCTTGATGTAGTATAGTTTACTTTTAACGATGATTCTGTTGATAATAGATGATTATCGTCATGAATATCTGATCTTTGACTAGATAGATGTGAATGAGAATCTCCATGATAATCATGATGCAAGATATGTGATCCAATGTCAGACGATATCGAATCAGATCTATGTAATAGACGTCGACGATTATCACTTAATTTAAACGATAATGAACAATTATCATGCGAATCAACTGGGCTATTCAATTTGCTATGACCAGGATGACCCTTTTCTACTGCCTCACCACATATTGTTTTAGTATGTCTACAATCAAGATAAGAAGAGACCTGATAGTTTTTTGTGAAATATACCTGAATACATTCCGTGTGAAGGTTAAAGGCTAAATAACTGGACGATGCAAGAGTTTTGACTTTCGTTAGGATGGTAATAAATATGGAGCAAAATCAGTTTACAATAAAATTGATATTAATGTCAATTTATTAGTGATGTGTTGATTTGAAGTGTAGCAGTTCATGTTGATGTACATCTCTGTATTAAGTCCTATGCATTTCATAACTAATTACAACAATGAATCTATGCTGACTAGTGTAGGGGATGGTTAGAAGAGAGTTAGGGGCGGCCAAACCAAAACGTGGCATCATTCCTTGAAGTTACTAACTTCTAGTCTAAGTCATGTTGGCAGATGCAGACTACTTGGTTGAGATCAGCACGACTATCGTAACCAATGGTTGGAGACTCTGTGTGACATGGCTCAGAATCTATCACAATGGCGCACGTGTATACACTCTTTATCTTCCCTTAAACCTTGAAATTAAAATTGCTTCATAACTTTCTCCATTCTGATACTATATCTTTATATACAACCTAGCTTTTATATACTACCACCACTAAATTAACTATTCCCATGAATCCGGTGTTCATCTTGTTGTGCTAACGAGGTATGGCAACTTGAATCGATGCATATATGCGCCTGGTTCTACGTTGTAGCTGAATGACTGACTGACAACAATGAATGCATTTATCATCAAATCTTGATGAATCTATGTTCAATGAAATATAAAAGCCATCCGTTAAATCAACTTAATTTGGAAATAATCAATACATATCGTCTAGCCTACTGCTTTAAATGTGAATAGATATTTGTTATATAAAGTGTATACACAATGAAACATATCTCAATATAAATTTCCATCAGTGAGAGAGTTGAATAAGAGTAGAACCAAAAAGTAATTACATTTTAATACTTTAGAGCTTTCAGCACACAAATAAGTTAGTAGTAGGTCGAAATTAAATGGTTTAAATCGTTTATTCTGGTTAGCGTTTTACTTAGCAAGACTGTTTTCAAAGAGATAGGGTTGTTGACCCATGCTCAGTTCTCCTTTAGCCAGGTTTTGGAAGGGCAGTAAAGTTAGAAGGGCTATACAACAGAGTTAGATGGCGAATCCTGGTGGGCGGCCTATGCTCCTCCACAAGGGGTAACAAACATAAGTAAGTAATATTAATATTAAGACACATATAAATTATTTTACCTTGGTGGATGTGCAGATGGTTTCAATGTATCTCCAACACTTGATCGACGATCACTTTGATTTTTATATCGATGAACAGTAAGAGTGAATGAGGCTGGTGATTGTCCCGAACTACTAATATTTCGCTCATGACATTGTTTGATAACATTTTTCAACTTATTTACAATAGTCTGAAGTATAAAAAAAACACCCGAAGCACAGAAAATGAATGGATCGAAGGTAGTATTACAAAAATAAGCGCTGACGAATAGATAGGCACCTTATCATCAGCTCAGGTGAGATTTTTATTTCAAAATTCGAACACTTAATTTCTACCTGAAGTTTGTGCTAATGATGTTGATCAGACGAACAACGAAAGGTCTACGACCAAACCATCCAGCTCAGGAAACAAAACCCTACCTAAACAATAATGCGCTGCAGTGGACATATGGTAAAAGAAAACATTAGTACGAGTTTTGTAAAGCACTCGATATTTGAGATCAGTAGCTCAATGGATAATACTTTAGGAATTTAAAATGAAAGGTAATGGGTTTGAATCACGATGTGAACATCAAGATTGAGATACGGTGACATTCAGCTGACGAATCCCAAACAGGACGAAATACATGTCCTTGATTCCGGCAACTAGTCACATATCATTTATACGAAAATATCAAAAATGAGGTAAGTAGAATTAATAAGATTTTGACGCGATAACAGAATACACTGAATTATATGTTCATACTGTGAATAGCAGTAAACAGTGAGCAACCAAACTGTTAGAATTTTCAACACGAGGACGTATCATTTCATCCAGTTTACTTAATGGATTACTAAAAGATTGACAAGTTCAATGTGCTTAGTATTGCCACATGAATAGATCAGTGTTAGAACACCATTGAAAACCTGGAAGAACTAGATAGACGTTTCGTCCTAGTATGGGACTACTCATCAGTGCGTGGATTGATTGAAGTTAGAAATTAATACCTCTGCAGCCAGCGGTTAAGTGTTTGTACACGAGACAGAACGTCCTGGGTGTGGAATCAAGGGTGCAAACTGCTCACGAATCCAATACTAGGACAAAACGGGCGTCCAGTGCTTCTAGGTTCTCTAACATTGATCAATTTATGATCTCAATCAAGAAACAATGATTGATGAATGTTGAAAAGTGACTAAAAAGCAAATGTTATCCAAAAAATTCATTGAAAAATAAAACATAACAAGTCGAATATAGCTACAGTCAACAAGAAATCAACCTTTATCCATCTTAATTTAAAAGGTGATAATGTTGCAGTGATAGTCAGCAGAATTTGAACAATTCAGTGACCAGAACCTCCTCTGGAACTAAACTATTAACCCTGTATCAAACAACGTATTCAATAACTAAAGAATCGATGACTATCTCTTTTATGTTGCCGTCAAATAGGTTTATAGATTTACACATGTCTGTTACGGCAGTTACACCGGTCGAACAGGAGGGAAGGGATACTTTAAATTCTTTAAACATGTTTCACAAAACAACCAACCAAAAGGCGGAAAAACCTTTTGAATGGTTCAATCTCCAGATATCATTTGGACACAGAACACCAAGTTGATACCTTTATATCTTTCAGTTATTTCTATCACTTATCCTTAATCTAATTTCTCTATCTTGATAACATAAAATTGATTTCATTACATAATCAGAATATTTTCAATGATTTCATCATTTGATCAATTACAAAAAAATTACGTCATTTTGTCCAATCTCTCTCTATCTATCTATCTATCTTCTCCTTCAATAAATTCATCTTTATATAACTAACTGATAATTAGATATTTCATTCTTGTTTATCATAAACACTAGCTTGAGTTACATAATCACTTATTTATAACGCTTTTGAAATTATCTTAAATACAATTCTATCCATTTGTTAATCTAAATAAGGTAAGAGTTAAATTATTGTTCTAGTTTTAGTCAATTTCATCTGTTTAAATATTTTCAAGCCATTTCATATTTATGATTATATTTCAAATTCAATAAATTGTCAGTGATCTTGAGCGCTGTAAAAAGTATGAGGGCAATTATCACTTCCCGAATGAAGTCGGTCACATACGACCTTTTTGTGGGTAATTATTGTGTTAGCTTCATAATTGTTGGGACCTTACCGCCGAAGACGGATATCCGTGGGATAAGGCGAGGTGTGCATTTTTAGGGTCGACCTTTTCTAACCCCACTCCTCCTTGTGAGAAGGCAGCATAGCTATTATGTTGGTTGTCTGAAAGAAACACCTTACTGCTGTCACATCTCTGTACAGTCAACAGTACGACTTCGCCTTCGGACCTTGGGTTTGCTGCTTTTAGTCTTACCACTCTTCAAACGACCTGTCTGGCATGGTAGGACCTTGAGGAACGATTGTTGCAGCCAGTATAGCTCGATTGGTTCATCACGATAGGCAAGCCCGACCACCACGTCAAGGTAGCAGCAACGGTTGTAGTAAGTAGCTGATGAGAACCAAGAACACTTTAAAATGAATTTATCTTCTTACTAACGCCTGTTACCCCTCGTGGAGGAGCATAGGCCACACACCAGCATTCTCTATCTAACGCTGTCCTGGGCAATCCTTTCTAATTAACATTCATCCTTTTCATATCTGCTCCTAGTTCCCAGCGTAAAGTGTAATTTTTTTCTTTTCCGTTTTCCCTCCGGATTCCAAGTTAGGGCTTGCCTCGTGATGCAGTTTGGTGATATCCATAATGTATGTCCGATCCACTTCCAACGTCTTTTCCTAATTTTCTCTTCATCTGGAAGCTGTTTTGTCCTCTCCCACAGTAGGCTGTTGTTGATTGTATCCAGCCAGTGATTGTTGAGTATTTTGCTTAGACAACTGTTTATAAATACTTGTATCTTCTTGACGACGGTTGTAGTAATTGTCCACGTTTCAGATCCGTATAATAGAACTATCTTGACGTTCGTAATGAAGATTCTGACTTTGATATTGGTTGATAGTTGTTTTGAGTTCAATATGTTCTTCAATTGTAGGAATGCGGTCCTTGCTTTGCCAACCCTCACATTTACGTCTGCGTCGGATCCTCGACGATGCTTCCCAGGTACGTGAAAGATTCCACATCATCCAGGGTTTCGCCATCAAGTGTGATTGAGTTAGTGTTCGCCGTGTTGTATTTGGGGATTTTGCGTTTTCCTTTGTGTATGTTGAGGCCTATGGATGTAGATGATGCTGCTACATTAGTTGTCTTCATCTGCATTAGTTCATGTGTTCTCCTGTCCATATTGTCAATGAAGTTGATGTGTAGTGACGAGTTCCACTCAACTGTTTGTTCGACGATGATCCATAGTGTCACAATTCGCTCTGTGCACGACCGATCCAAACGGAATCCAGCCTGTTGATCTGGATCCATGTCCTTAGTTTCTTCAAAATCATGTTTGTTTCAAAACATGAAAGCACCAGGAAATGAAGTTATAAATGTAAACCACTGAATGTTGTTAACTTAGTAGTCAAAATGTAAAATACTCGCTATAAAGTCTGAGAATTCCAAGTTTCAGTCCTGAGTCCGCATGGTTAAGGAACCGTTACATGCTGTAATGAAACAGCTGATCAATAAAACCCAGTTTTTTTCAACGAGTATCTATTTAAACTCAAATTGTGAAGTAAAATATCTCCAAACTGACCAAACTCCTAAAATCCTGTAAGCTCATATACAGGATTAAGAGTGGATTATCAAACATCTACAGACTTCACATTAATTTCTGAATACAGGAATAATTTTTTTCTTATCTAATTTCCTATATACAGGCTTTTATCAGTTCACATGTTCCTAAATCGTGTAATTTGAACGTTGTAAACACTAATTTCTCAGCTATTCAATAGTCTCCAGAAATTTTCTACTAATGAACAATCAACAGAGAAACAGAAGACTAGAAATATACAAGAAACAACGAGGGAAAAATACAAAAATCGGTAAACAGTCTGGCGGTTGTCCCATCAAAACAAAAAAGATATATTCAATCGTCTTACAGACTGTTTTCGGCGCTGTCCGGCGCTTTAACCGGTTTGGTGGACACAGGGGAGTTGGAAAACCCTGATTCCAAACCAATGATGCACATGGGCTCCAGTATCCTGAAGGAACAAATGGTGTATGAGCCAATCGTTAGTCACCGGCTACCATGGGACTGCATCTCCTTACGATGCTCCACTGTCTTGTGGATCAGATCTTTAGGTCAAAGGCTCCGGGTGTGGTCCCGTAAGAAAACCACCCGCCTCGGTCTGGGCACCTAAGCAGTATCACAGCCCTCACACAATTCAAATGAGATTTATGTGGCACATATATATCTGGTACCCCTTTTGTACCAATATTTTTGTTTAAGTAAATAAATAAATAATAAATGTTTCACATTGTAATGAATCTATCATAGTTATAAACACTTGTATAATATCTTCAAGTAAGGGAAGAAGTCAAATCTGAATCATTTTTTTCTTTAATTCACCTTTACATATATTACACAACATGTTCTATGAAATTTAAAGAAAATCAATCAATTTGTGCTTACAATTCATTCATTCATTTTAACTTACTTTAGCATTCATTCCATCTACAGATTCATCATTAATTGCAACAAGACGATCACCAGTTTTTACAGTTACACAATTATTTGAAGTAACAAGAGTATCAGGTACAAGGCTATCAATATATAAACCTGGTATAGGAGAATATTGAGATGGAGAAGCTGATCCTGTTACTGACTGTGGTGATGATTGGGATGAAGATGATAATAGTGATAATAAAATATCATTAGACCATTTGAAATTGATTCCTAATAATGGAGGTCCTTTTATAGTATCTGACTGATTATTAGTAGTAGTATCCAATGGAAGTTGATATTCAAAGGTACAAGTCATAAACGGCTAAATATAAGTATAAAAAAAAGTAAAGAATAAGAACAACCGATAATTAATTCAAACTGACTAATCAAGTATGATTATTTATATGATCTGCTCTAAGTCACATATTTATGATGTAAGAGCTAATGTACTACTACCCAGCTGCCAAAACCAAACTAGGTAGAGCAAGATTTTAATCTGCGATTTATTGGTTGAAAGTCGAGGTTTTTTTTTAACCAACTAAGTCATCAATATACCACTGTAAATCCAACTGCCAAAAAGATAACTCCGCCTGTAACACAAAAAGATGTATAACTTAACAACTCAAGTATAACCACGGATTATATCAAAGTCCTATTCCGGATTTAGCATTGAAGCAGCCTGATAATAAGCTGGTAATGCCTACATTAGAACATGACATCAGTACATGAAATCGTTGTCTGCTGTAATTAACTATGTCAGAGGATATAGGCTCCCTAGTTGAAGTCCGAAAGACAATTAATAGTTGGAGGTTTTAGCTGACATCGTTTTACATCAACTAGAATGACACGAAAACACTAGTCGCTTGTTATTCTGGAATAATATCACTGTTTCAATTTTTAAACCGTGAAATGATATGAATGAAGTGTGAAAATATTAGGAGTTGCATAACTTGGTGGAGTTTCATTCGCTGAGATGGATAGTTTAATGATGGAACTTTCATTATTCTTCTGAACAACATCATTAGCACTAACTTCAGGTAGAAGTGAACTATTCAAGTTTCTTCACAAATGCCCGACAGCCTATTCTCTCGACTTTGATCTTGATTGATTATTACCTTCCAGCGATTTGTTTTAATTGTTTTCCTTTTCGACCTGATTCATGATCTCGTATATGTCCATGACATTTCCAAATGATTGATGAATTGTGTCGATTACGATGTGTTTATTGATTGTTGAGTTACTTGACTATAAATGTTTAGAAACACTTAGGTTTTCTGTGTATTTTCCACCATTCAAAATCTCAACATGTATCCACGTGCATCGATATAAATATAGACACATGGTGTTTGACAGCTAATGAGTGTTCATGCAAACAAAGATAAAGAAGGTGCCTACTTATCCGATGTAGTGTTTCTCGTAGTTACAACAGTTTATTTTATAAATAATCATCATCAACATCAAAATAGCAACAACAAAACTCCATGGTTAAATTATCCAGCTCAGAGAACAAAACTCAACCAAAACCATAAACCTCCTTAGCTACAAATCTTCACCAACTCAAAGTTCAATATCTGTCCAAATTTGACAATGTCTATTACTGAATAACTGACTATACAATGTTCAGTACTAGGCAACAAAAAAAGAATACATTCCATTATCCATAAACTAAAGTTGACAACATGGTAAGCAAAGATGGATAGTGGCTAGCAGTGGAATCCAGTTTGACGCGTGTTTCGTTCTATTTGGGACTCGTCAGCTGGATGTACCTGCATCTTAGAATTGATATTCAGTCTGAGACTCCAACGCAGTACCTTTCGCCTTTAAACATCAATGGGAAGATTCAAACAAACAATACTAAGTGAATTTAAAAGTTGGCGACCTTTCATTAAACTATACCCTAACACTTAAGGTTAAAAAAATACAAATAAACCATAATTTCAAATGAATGACAATAAGCATGATAAGATTATCAGCTATCCAATGAAATCCATAAAGATGAAATGATTATTCTCAAACTTTTTTAATAAGCAATACAATAACATATAACTCATAACTTAAGATCCTTCTTCTCTTTTCTTCACATCATCGCTTTCTTTCCTCTTTCGTTATCACATCCTCTCAACACAGTCAGTAAGTACACACATGCACAAACACACACACATAAACACATACGAACATACACAGATAAGAGTATGTAGAACCAGAATAGATACAGTTCAATGTTGCAGATCAAAATTTGACAGTTTAATAAGTAAATGGGTATCAGTGATAATTATCAATCAACTACAATAATTATTGATAAAGAAAAATTCTCATTTTCAGTGAAAATAAACAAACAAACAGCAACCCTAAATAATGGATAAATGAAATGAGTGAGGTAATTGTAGTTTCCGGTATGAAGTTTACCAGTTCACAGTGAAAAAGCAAACAGTGATCAGATGAGATGGATGATTGTTAACAGTGGAATCTAGAACGTGCTTTCGTCCTAATATATGGGACTCGTTAGATGGATGTATCTGAATCCAAGAGTTGATGTTCAACCTGGTACTCGAACCCACATGTAAATAACATGATTTTAACGTGGCTGGGTCATTGTGTAAGTGATTGCTTTTAAGCAGTAAATCAGGTTTGATTATTCCAAGAAAATTATCAATACTATCAAATTTGATCGATAGGATTTAATCAGTTCTAAAGGACCAGACAAACGAAATGTTAGTCACCAATCATTCACTAATCAATGTAAATATCTCAGTATTCCAGAAGGTTAATTATACACCGAATAACTCAGTAGTAACATCTCATACTGTGAAAGACGATGATGTAGGTTCGAATCCTACAGGAAACATCAGTTACTTTAAGATCCTGAATACCTATTGTCATTGAGTGCCAACTACAAAACACACCTAGATTAACAAAGGTATCCTGACAACTACGTCCAACCATTTAACATATAAACATAACGCACGCGATGTTCAGTAATTACTTCCCAAAAGTGGGGTATGTGCTGATGAAATTGCTAAGAAAAACAAGTATATCTGACTGAACAGGTCAGAGAATGTAAAATCCCTTTCTCCCAAATTCTAGGTATTCCCTTACCACCTAAAGACTGAATTTATCTAAATATCAGCCTAATCCATCTTGCAAATTAGCTAACAACAAAACGAATTCCAGCAGAATGTAATCTTATTTTGACTATACATCACAATCATCAATTCCATCTTTAAGTTTTGCTGAAAAACGTAGTCTTTTCGTCATCGTAAGAAATTCAGATCGTTCGAAATTGCAATTTCGGCATTCAGACAACGAAACATTTCTGAAGTAAAGCTTGTCGCTAAGTACATGAATATTTGAAAAATTCAACAACTGCAATCCACATAACCTCGTCAAGAAAAATCACCAACAGACATAATAAAAAGTGAACTTACACGTGGAGGTAAGTGTTTATGTGAAGATTTACGAGTATTCGAGTCTAAATCAGAAGATATTTGTCGAGATATAAGCAAATCCACTTGTTTCCCTGGTGTCAATGATCGTAACTGTGATAAAACTTGATTTAATGAACGAACTTCTTCACCATCAATAGCCAATAGACGATCACCAGCCTGAGAATTAATAAATAAATTATAAAATATTTTCAGCTTAATATCTGTAATATCGAATATTTTAACTGTAATGAGATGAAAATGATTAACTTAAGATCTTAGTGAAGTTGTAACCAGCAGAGAATGGGATGAAAACAATCATGAAGTCAATCATGTGCATCTTGTCGTGTACTGGTACTGCCAGTAGAGCTTAGGACTTGTCAACTGAGAAAACTTTAGACACTTTCAAAAGCTCTTCATAGTCAAACATAGATATTAATCCATTATTCTAGATAAACTGAGTTTTAAAAAGGGATTAAAACGGGATATCGCAAAGAGTTGAAACTTTCCCACCACCATTAAAAGTGGTTCCATTCACATGAGAAATAAAGTTCATGTCAGTAACTGATAACAGTTCTTTCGATGTGTTATTTACTTCCTCATTAAGTATTTGCAAAAGTAATAAAGTATATTAGAAAATAATTGCAAACATGAGTACTCGTCTGTAACAACAATACAAGTTATTGAATAACCGAGCGAAGGCTAGTACAATAAGCTATGAGACAAAACACGTTTTTGTGCAAAAAGAACAAGGAGTACAACACCAGACCATAAAAGCAAGAGTAGTTTACTGTGCAGCAGTTTTCTTTGTTTTAATTCATGTCTATGAAATATAGCCACTAGGAGAGGATATTTGTAAGCTACTAGTATTCGAACATCAGTTTCTTCGAAGAATCGCTTGTGTATTTGGGCGCCAACGAGTTATCAATACTAAGGTTAGACAGGTGACAGATAAGGGGTGAATGAGTTGATGGAATAGTGAACATTTATTAACTGAGGTGGTTGAGACATGTATTAAGTGTGACCGACCACCTCCTACCTCAACGAACAATGTTATCTGGTTCGGAAGTAAGCTGGAAGAGGGTTAGAGCCTGACATACCGAGACGTGACACCAGTCCATAAAGTCATTGACAATTGGAGTGAGCCATGTTAGTAAATGTAAACGACCTACCTAGTTGAAGTCTGCACGGTTTTATAATAAAGTTTGGTTTGACAGACTGAATCTTATGCTAAGTAGGAATATAAACGTGTATTCATCAATCCTGTACACTTAATCAAAGATAAACATATAATTGAATGACGAGGAGCGGTTCGCTTAATTAATTCTGGTCTTGTGAACAACCAATCATCACTCGGTCGTACATCATAGTCAATCCAGATAATCAACGACCTAGAGAACTACTAATTGTAAGAATTTACTTTAACATGATTGTCGATATTTAAAACTTCATCAATGAGCTATTTGTTCACAGATAGAGTTCTTGGATAAATATTTGAGTAAACGAAAACTGATAAATTCAGTTCTGAGTACTAACAATGAAAAATCCATTTATTCATTAGACCCACATCAAAATCACATACAACTAGAAAACGAAATTAGAATATCTTACACAAAATTTGTGTGAACAGGGATATTGCTCGGGTGATCAAACTAAAGCAGACTTTTTTCTCAAGGCCCAATTTCCCGAGGTTCTCACCATAAGATCTAATCTATGAAATAGTGGAGTAACGCCAGGAGTTGTAGATCCATGATGGTCAGTGATCAAATATTTGTTTATACTTCGTTTGTCCCTTAAGGATCTTAGAATCCATGTACAAAGCTGGTTTGAAATCAGAATTTTTTAACTCCTCTGGGTAGATCTTCCATATTTACCAAACCAGTCTAACTCCCGAATGTTTTCTCATAATCTTCTCGATTTTATGTAGAAAATTCCTTCCTGAGTGAAGGCAGCGAGTAGGATTTTATCAGAGGAAACCGTAAAAACAATCATATGAAGGCACTTTGGAAGAGAAAACAAACTGTAGTCATTCTCGACAGTACCAGCGCGTCTGGAGAGGCTGATTTTTAGACTAAAGTAGAATAGTATGACATTTAAAGGGGATGTTTAACTAGGGTTTTAGTGGAGACATCAACACTCGAATGCAGGTATATCTAGCTGAAGAACCGTGCATAAAATGGAACACGTTTCCTGGACTCTATCAATAATATCTATCTAAAATATACAATAGAATAAGTCATATTCAATAGTTCAGTTAAACACTGACCAGTAAACGTCCATCTTGTATGGCAGCACCATCGGGTAAAATCTTTTTCACATATACTGGATCAGACATTTGTGAACTTTGTGTTTGTGTATCACGACTAGTTAATGTGAAACCAAGACCGGTACTTGACATTTTTGTCAATTGAATATGCATTGTTTGACCAATAGTTCGAGTATTGAATGCATTTGGATCTTTGGTCGACTATGAAAGATAGAAAAAAGATGAAAAGAAAACTGTATAATGATTTATTATTACTAAATGCACGTGTTTAAAATGCTCAAAATAATGGGTTTTTTTCCATAAAGGCAAGGACTCGTGAATCCTTCCTCTTTAGGTATTGTTTACCAACTAAGAGAATGGAGTGGCATGTGGAAAGCGAAACAGTTGTCATCAATTACATTGGATAACCTTTTCATTTTGTCACAAACTGAGTTGAAATTGCACAACTGGACATTGACCCAGTCAATAAATGGCATTACAAGGTCGTTAATGATATTCATCTCACCTACAACAAACGTGAACCATAGCAGTCAATGTTTATTACTAGAATGTCGGAAATTAATTGAAGTTGGAGCTATAAGATTGGATGTTAACCCATTGTTTTCTGATGGTTGAGGGCACGCCACGATACTTGAAAGTTGTGTGTAAGTATTTATGAAGAGTCTCATACAAGTATGAAACCACTGTTCAATGCTTCCTTGTATTTTAATGGTGGTTTCATTGAGGTTAATTTTGACAGATATAGACTACAGAATACTGTTTAGCTTTTTATTCGATAGTTTGATTGTTGAGATAACTTTTATCAGAGGGTTGACTGGTGGATTCATTTAGAACTATGTTTATTTTATTTATTTAAACGCATAAATATTGGTACAAAGGGGCACCGAATACATATGCACCACACAAATATTATTTGATTCGTGTGAGGGCTGTGATACTGTCCAGATGCCCAAACTGAAGCAGGAATAGAAACAATAACGGGGCGAACTTGCATACATATAGCAAACAATTCTCTTTGAACCTAGCACACAACACTACCGTCATACACTGTCCCATCGCCCTTGGCAGATCAGGCAACCCGAAAGTCAGGACATACGACAGGTTAGGTACCCCATTTAGAACTCAAGGGCATTGGACAGCTGTTTCGTTCTAGTTTGCGAATTCTTAAAAGTAGTGTTTAATCAAGATCCACACACAGATATTGTTTCAAAATATTTTAAATATTGTAAAAAGCAAGTATTATCTTAAGCCTAGTTGAACAAAATAAACTGATTCCACATATTAAACCATACAAGCGTACGTTTCATGAAATAAAAGACAGCAGTTGAAAAGTTCTTTTAAATTAACCTTCTCTAATGATGATATCGACAAAAAAGACCAGATAAAACGGTTGAATATTCTGTGGCATATTAGTACTAACAACACACAGTTGGCTTCTTATATCAAGGATTCAGTGAAATTCATAATGATCTCTAACAATTTATGACTATACGTGGCTACTGCCGGTCCCACGTCTGGGTAAAAGAGGAGGGTTTGGCATGGGGTTGGGCATGCGGTTAGCGACCCCATGTACAAATTATAAAGCCGGATAGAATAAAGACAAGATTTCCATAACTTTTCACCATGAAACACAATCAAAATCAACACCGAATAGATATACTAAGTAAATTTTACAACAAAAACATTCTCATCAATTTGTTTAAATGAGAGGTTTGCAGATATTTGAGTCATGTAGCCCAATATCTTAAACAAGACTGTATGAAAACAGTGAATAACTTTATGAACTGATGTCATATCTTGGCTTATCAGTCCTCAATTTTCTGTCAGCCTAATCAGATACCAGCAAACATCACGCATCAAGTTAGGTAATGGTTGGGAATATGAGGTACTTGTTCAAACCACCCCAGTCAATGAAGACTCACAAGCACACTTAATCAATTCATTATATTTGTTTCATACCCTAAGATTAAACTCCACATTTCCAACTTGAATATTTATGTTCAACGATATTTATGGTCAAAACCTTGAATCTTGTAAATATCCTCTTCTTCTATAGATCATAATTCACAACCATAGAGCAACACAGAATAGACAGCTGTTTAGTATATTCATCTTGTGGATATATCTTGCCAATGTTACGAATGAAACAACATTTTTTCGGTATAAGTTAAATGATCTTTCCCATCACTAAATCGAAATCCGATCATTCTAACTACAATTCAAAGACGATATGGCATGGATCAATGATTCTATATACATCAATTCTAAACTCTAACGTGATCAGGTTATAACTATACAATAAACTTATCTATATTCAAAAGAAACACACATGATCCAAAACCTTACTTATTACATCATCATAAATTATTCATTGTGAAATATATTGATAAGATAAATGAAAAGAAAAATTGATTGACCGATCAGCCTGATTACAGCAACATATGATGACGATGATGATCAACATCATCATCATCAGGATCATGAATAGCATTCATCGACTCACAAACACACACACATACATTTACACGTACGCAAACACACGATCTTACGATCCATTTCAATTCACATGTAACAATGAGATGATAATAATACTAATTATTATTTTCTTTTTATAAGAAGTAACTTTTATCATAGAAAAAACATTAAGTCAATGTCAATTTCAAAACAATTATAATTAGAAATTCACTGATATCGACAGATATAAATCAGTTAGTCAGTCACAACATACAACTTTGTACTTACATACGTACACCAGTTCGAGCTGCCATAACACATTAGCACAGAGCTGAAGTTGTCGATTCAAATCCCATAGTGGTAGAAGTAGTAAGAGTATAAGTATTATGTGAAAGATTAAGGTTTGAAGATGTTATTCAAGGAGTATAATCCAGTGAAATAAATTTGGAAAGAGAAAAAAGATAGGGACATGAAAAATTCAGAAGATTAGAATTTCGGAGAACGCAAAGAGTGGATGCACCTACGCCATTGTAAACGATTTTGAGCCATGTCATTCACGGTCTCTAACCATCGGTTGTTATCATATCGTGAATTCCATCCAAGTAGTCCACACCTATCAACATGGCTCAGTCCAATTGTCAGTGACTTCATGGATTTGTGACACGTTTTGGTCTGGCCGCCCCTAGCTTTCTTCCAACCTACTCCTTCGCCATAAAGCATTGCACGTCGGGGGAGTCGGTGGTTGGGCATACACAACACGTGTCCCAGCCATCTCAACTGATCAAGTTTCACTACTTCATCAATCGACTTGCCATCCTTATCTAGTACCCGTTTCCAATTTTAGCACATTATAGAATATCTCATTAAAAATATAAGAACCATATAGTGAACAGTTAATTTGCAAAATAACAATGAATTGTCTCAATTTGACTGTGTCTTCTGCAAATATCCATCCATAGTTTCCGATTATAATTGTTCATTCATTTTTCGTATAAATTACGTGCCGTTCCCGTTCTCTCCTTATCGATCTTCTACTGAAATACATTCAATACCCAACTATTACCATATACTACTTATGTTGATAAAAGTAACCCACACCACAACTTTAGCGTCACTCAAAGGTCATCCATAAATTATAGTCTAACATAACATCTATCTACAACTTCATAAACTAGCATCAAACTACAACAAACATTTCAACAGTATTCAATTATTTTCATAGTTGAAATCATGAGTCAATTGAAGATAGACCACCATCGAAAACCTGGAAGCACTGGACGGCCAACTCGTCCTATTATGGGACTCCTCAGCAGTGCGCATCCACGATCCCGCACTCGCGAGATTCTTACCCATGACCTACCAGTCTCTCGCCAGAGCACTTACCCGACAGACCACTGAGCCAGCATCCAACGGTATTAATGTCTAACTTCAACTGATCTACGAAGTTGAGCAACCGTTCACCAATTGCTTTCAGTGAGTTGATATCTCTACAACAGATTCGGTTGAACTCCACTGATCACTGCTTCCCACTAGAACTCAAAGAAACATTCCTTACAGTCAGTCACTAGTGAGCATGTGATTATAGATCGGAAGAGGTTTTGTGTGGATATTTCAATACTTTCATAGTTGAAATCATGAGTCAATTGAAGCTAGACCATCACGGAAAACCTGGAAGCACTGAACGGCACTTTCGTCCTATTATGGGACTCCTCAGCAGTGCGCGTCCTGCGAGTGCGGGATCGTGTATGCGCAAAAAAAACCCTTCTCAGTATTCAATTACTTTATTTTCTAAAGTTTTTTCTAAAGTAACCAGTCCGTACTTTTAACGGAGGTACACATATATATATCATTCACTGATAGATAAACAGATAGATAGATAGATAGTTAGATAGATAGATAGATAGATAGATAGATAGATACATTTGTAAATAATAACAAGAGTGTACCAAGGTTACAATGACTTGGAGAATACAAAAAAAATTGTTTTCACTACAGCATCACAATCACATGTGATTATAACCATAGTGTTACAAAAATTGTATTATGCATATATAATTGATACTTTTAAAATAAACATGCTAAAATGTTTTTGACAATGTTTCAAGTTATTTTCTGGCACCTTATGATGAATACACAGATACACGCATGCACATATACATATATATATGTACACATGTGTGTATAGTAGTGCTCTTCTTAAACGGTGTAATATCAATGTACAGTGTACATTGAGAAAATTTAAAAAGTATATTTGACATACATTAATTGGAAATTAAATTGGAGTTAGACATAAACGCGATTGGATGCCCGCTCAGTGGTCTATCGGTTAAGTGCTCTGGCGTGAGACTGATAGGTCCTTGGTTCGAATCTCGTGAGGCGAGGTCGTGGATGCACACTGCTAAGGAGTCCTATAGTTGGACGAAACGAAAGTCCAGTGCTTCCAGGTTTTCCCTAGTGGTCTAGCTTCAAATGACTCACGCTCTCAACCAAGAAATTAAGTATGATGATAAACATATTCCAATATCAATCTTGAACAGCGCTTGGTATAAATGATTTATTGTTGTCATTAAACTATAGCTAAATAACTAAAGAAACTCAAAAGCTTCATTTCATTCCATTCTTAAGACTTTTCAGGACCTGGATGTACATAAAATACTGATAAACCATAAATAATTGTTGAAAGCGTGAGTCAATTGAAGATAGACCACCATCGAAAACCTGGAAACACTGGACGGCCGTTTCGTCCT